CCTGTTCATTCCGTGTATTGAAATGAAAGGGAAAGAAAGAAGTAGAGACATTGTCAGTCTCTCTAAGAGCCGGTATGCTTACTGCATGAAGTGGAGTTAATGATAACCCTTGTATTGTTGCAGCAAGGAAGTCATAGCGGGGAGACTTTAAATAGAAAGTAGCAAGTAGTCTGCAATAGGCTGTGTGTTATTGCATGTGAAAGTAGAGCCCTTAGTCCATTGGCAGAGTTTGACGATGAGAATTGCCCAGAGTCCAAGACAATTGGCAGAGGAAAGTGGAGGGAAGAAAATTATTTCACAGCTGAGAGAAATGCAGGACACAAAACTGGGGAACCAAAGTGAGCAACATACAGCAGTATTGGTTGTCACTGTACTCCTATGGAGAGTTTCAGCCCACAGAAGGATATAATTATCAATAAAACAGACTTTACAGTACGCTTGTGATATGAGTTTGTTTTTTCAGACCGTCTTACAAGATACTGGTGTGAACAAAGTGGAAGTGATTTGTCCATACAGATAGTCATGGAGAGGGAAAAGTGTCTCAGGTGCTGTAATCCCAGCCCTGACTGCAGGGCCTGTAGGGTCTGGATGGCTGCATGCCATGCTGGGGAGCATCAACGGCATCATCTGGAGGAATGACACAGTGAGATCCACCCACGTACTTTTTGTTTGGGATTTATTCGGCTTTTCTTTGAACAAGTGCATGGGAGCTGCTGAGTGACGGCCTGAACCTCTGATCGATCACCTGAGGCGAGCCATGAGTCAGCCAGAGCACAGGTGAAGGCAATTCCTAGACCTATTTAAGAGCTGGCTACCAGTAGGGAAGGATCTTTTCTGGAGGTCACCTCTACTGGTGTTTTATGGGTGATCCCAGTGTAGGGGTAAGCCTTCTATTTATTCTCTTTTGTTATCATAGTCTACTTTGCCTAACTCTCTTGTTTGTGATTATAACATCCTACTATTCTTTGATTATACAACAAGCAAAATCCAAACCTACTTACAAATGTTCCTAGTGAAGTTTCAGGGTTTTTTTTTTTAGCGTGAGAATTGGACTTAAAAAATAAAATAAAAAGGTGTCAGAGATATCTGACTTTAGCTTCCAGGCAACAGACAGTAGGGATGTCAGAGCCTGTACAATCTTGCTGTGTCAGGAGTACTCACAGTCACAAAAGGTAGGACAGCTAAATACAGCTAGAAAGCAAAAAATAAATTATAAAAAAGACACTAAACATGTTGTAGCTTGTGTGAAATGGGGCACCTTTTGAGATTCTGACCTGGAGCCTTCATGGGGTCAGAGTGAAAAAAATGATTGTCTGGTTAATCTTGGCAAGTTTCTGTGAAGGGGCTGATGTGACTGGATCTGCTGGTGGAGCAGCAGAAGTTGGGTTCACCGAGTCACGCTGGTGTCTGGATGGTTCAGCTGCTGTTCAGTTGAGATGCAAAGATTTAATTTATTTGGGTTTGATTAGGTTTGTGTTTTTATTGCTGGTGCTGTGTACGTGCTTTGTTGCCATTTTTGCTTTTGTTGTTATTTGTTTGTTCATTGTTGCTTTTTACTATTACATTTTTAACAAATGTGCTCACTGCTGTGATCAGTCTTGCTCTGGGCATTTTCTTTCCTTTGCAGAAAGCAATTCAGTCTCATGACCCAGAAGTTCCTTCTCTTCTCTTGGCATGCTTGAGAATTCACAGGCTTCTGCCATACATCCCTGCCTTTTTTGAACCTGATGGCATGTGGCTTCTTACTCTCAGCTTACTCGGACAACAAATTCAGAGTTAAGCCTACCTAAGTAAAGTTGTGTCTGTCCTGCACCTGATGCTAAAGTTACAGCTTATTGTGGTCTTCCATTGCATAGGGGCTATGCAGTTCTTTCAGTTGAGGTGGTAAAGCAACTTGGATATGTGCTGTCCTGTGAATGGTTGTACATCCTCAGTAGTAGAAGCAATAACTGAAAAACAAATCTTAAAGACATCTCAGAAAAAAAGAAAGAAAAAAGGCCATTTTGGGGGCAGCAAGGTTTCATCAGGATTCATCCAAATCAGTTTTTTAATGCCAGAGTATGAGTTTGACCATGTGCATTTTTCAAAGGGGGAAAAACAAATATAAATCAATGGTGGTTAATTAAGGAAAATACCAGAATTCTTACTCTAAAATGAGGATCGTTCTGAATGTCAATGGAAGGCAGTTTGCATAATGAGCTGAAAGCTAAGGTTTAGCTACTTTTTTTTTAGTAATTATTATTTTGCTTTGATTTAGAATAATTCAATGTTAGAATAGTAATGTCATTAAAATGAATGTAATGATGTGTTTGGTTTTTGGATGGCCATGGCTTCATCGGTGTCTTCAGGAGCTTCATCTGATCGTAGAAGAGATTAGGTCACAGAATAAACAAAAGACCTAGTGCTACAAAACCATAACAAAATTGTCAGTTCAGAACACAAATGAACATCGAGGACCAAGATAATTGGTCTTTTTATCTCCCCCTTATAAAAACAAAGGTTTATTTGGCTTTTAAATGGGCCAGTAAAATTGAATTGGCACCCTACAGTGCATGCAGAATAGCTAGTCAAGAAGAATAAGCTATAAAGAAAAAAGCAGAGGAGCTTAAGAGATGAAGATATTAAAAGCTGGTCTACTGATAGCCTATTAAAAGTGTTAAATTTTGAAGATCTGCAGTGAACAGAGATCTAAGTTGGAAAATAGTTCTGGGCAGGGGGATACTTTTGTTAGAAGTTATTGTTGATGATCCTCCAGAATTCTGTAGGAAAAATAGGTGCAAGTATCCAAAAGGGCAGATCAGAAGCTCTTGGCTGCAGTGGGTTGTCTGCTGCCAACAGTAGCTCCATCTTTGCTGTTGGATGGTGCTTGGAGAAGGACTTAATTATGGTCATAGAAGCATAGAATCCTGAAGGTTGGAAAAGACCTGATCCAGGTCTATAAGTGTCTAAGGTGTGGGGGGCAGAATGGCGAGGACAGACAGTTTTCAGTGGTGAGTGGAGACAGGACAAGGGGAAACGGCTGGAAACTGCAGCACAGGAAGCTCTGCACAGATGTGCGAAGGAACTTCTTTACAGAGAGGTGACGGAGCACTGGAACAGGCTGCCCAGGGGGGTGGTGGAGTCTCCTTCTCTGGAGATGTTCAAGACCTGCCTGGATGCCGACCTGTGCTACCTGCTGTAGGGAACCTGCTTTGGCAGGGGGGTTGGACTCGATGATCTCTGGAGGTCCCTTCCAACCCCTACAACTCTGTGATTCTGACCTGCAAGATCATCCAGTCCAACCATCCACCGATCACCAACAGTTCTCACTAAACCACGTCCCTTAACACAGCATCTAAACGTTCCTTGAACAGGCTGTCCACAGCCTGATTTCAGTCTCTGCTTACTCGCTGCTTGAGAGCGTTAGCTTATGCTAACATAAGCACAAGCTTTCTGAGCCCCTGCTGAGTCTTCATTCAGGTTCCTATAACTCTGAAATTTCATTGGAGTCATAGTTCAGAAGTATTCCCAAGTCTCAGAGCTGATAAGAAAGAACAGGTGAATCTGGGATCGCTTGAAATGCTCTGGGCATTTGGCATCAGGAGGCTTTTGGAGGTATGTTTTGTTTGCATTGTGTGAAGGGATATTTCCTGGAATACAGTGACTTGCTCTCTTTTGCTTTCTCCTCAGTAAGAATCTACATAAAAACTGGTAAACTAGGCCATTAATAAATATGTAAGAGAAGCCTGATCCGTGAGATACTGACTCAGTGTATTTGAGGACACCCAGCTCCTGCTTGCCCCACTTCAGTGACTGTTATGATGGAATTAGAGAGTTTATATGCCATTGAAATGATTTGGAGACTGCCAGACTTTGTTGCATAGTCTTTATTTTTCCCTTTTGTTCACCTGTAAGTTACTGCCTTTTATTTGTTACTTCAGCGGATAATTTTTATGGTAGCTTTTCTGCTTTCTATCCTGCTGGTATATAGTTTAATGAAATGCCTTTTGAAACTGTGTGTTTAATTCCTCAGTCGTGCCTCTGGGAGTTAATTCTTGCTGCATTGTAACTTCTTTTATATCTCTTCTTGGCTGTGGTTGGGAACTTTTGCAAACTTTTCTTTAGGATATCGGTACTCATTCCCTCTCCTGTCTCGTGTGCATCTCTTTTCTGCCTGCGTCAGCTGTTATTTGCTGCTGGTGTCTACTTCTGGTCAAGGCCTGTTAGAGTGCCTTAAACAATTAAATTCCTTAATGGCATTACTATTTTTGCATCTGCACTTCTGGAAGAAAATTGAATTTTCACACCTGAGTACCTATCTAAGGTGTTATCTGTGAGGCTAATGAGCTAATATGGTGGAGAATCCTTTAAGAAATTACTTTAACAGGTTTTGGTGATTCTGAATAGCATTTATGATAGGAAACGTTTCATGATGATACTTACAGAAATAGCAATGTTGTATTTTTATTTTATTTTATTTTTTCTTTTTTTTAGAAGTCATGTCTTCCTAACCAGTAACATATTCTTGCTTTCTGAAAAGTTACGTATGCAGAGTTTTGGCAAAAATGGTTAATGGGGCTATTTGAAAATTGTTGTTAAATCCAACTCTTGGCAAGTGGAATTGTTAACACTGAGTCATCATTTTTCTTGGAAGCGTATTTTTCATTACAAATGGGACTTGCTTATCTCAGTCCAGAAATGTTTTGGTTTAGAAGTGCTTCTGTGCTGTATTGTACTTCATTTATCTCCCGATCACAATCACAGTCCTTGCTATGGACAGAGCTTTGCACTTAGCCTGTGAGGTTCCTTTGCCATCTCTGATGCAATCTCTCTGTCGGCTACACTGAAATTAGTATATAATATCTCGCAAATTCATTTGGTCTATTGCATCATACAAAATAATTTCAGGATTCAGTAAGTGGGCTTACTTCAAATGTACTTCAACATGTTTTTTTTTGTTTTTTTTTTTTTTTTTTGCATTCATTGTATTTCAGTTTTTAATTCCTGTTTCTCTTTGTCAGTTTGCTCACAGTTTTCCAGAGGAGTTTATGCCATCTTTGGATTCTATGACCAGATGTCAATGAACACACTGACGTCATTTTGTGGAGCCCTTCACACGTCCTTCATCACACCCAGCTTCCCAACAGATGCAGACGTGCAGTTTGTCATCCAAATGCGGCCAGCATTAAAAGGAGCCATCTTGAGTCTCTTGACCTATTACAAGTGGGAGAAGTTTGTGTACCTCTATGACACAGAACGGGGTAAGCACTGTTGTTTGATTTGACTTCCCTGCTTTATAATTTGCACAAGTGTATAGAATCATAGAATCACCAAGGTTGGAAAAGACCCGCAGGATCACCCAGTCCAACCATACACTGATCACCAATAGTTCTCACTGAAATAGTTCTCACTATTACCAGAATCAGTGGTTGCAAATTCCTAGAAAAAAAGTTTGTTTCGAAGGAACAAAAATGAGGGGATAGATGAGAAGGGGGCATGTTCATTGCACTTGTCATTTGTAAAGATGTTGCCTGGAGGATACTGTAAGCATTCAATTTGGAACACCTGGTTTCAACACAGCTGCAAAGTCAACACTCACTAGGATTTCTGAGTCCTTGCAAAATAAATAAAATCAACAATATGAAGAATACTGTTAAGCAAGACTTTCCGCTCTGCGTGGCATTGTAAATCCCTCATTGCTTTACATAAATGTGTTTCTCCCATTGCTGGATAAAAACAGTCCATGCCAATTTACATGCTGGAAACATCTGAGCATCAATAGCAGCCTAAGAATATAATGCATAAAATGCTTTAGGGCTCTGCTAGAGTAAAGATGCTCTAGATATGTCACACAGATGTTTAGAGATGAAGGTAGATACCTGACAAGAGTGACCAGAGATGCACTTTACAAAATGAAGATACGTTAAAGTCAGTGTATCCGTGGTTAAACCAACTGCTGGCTAATTACTGCACCCTTGGTAACAAATCCTGTCAAAGGTAGATCTGAACAGCAGAGGCCATTTTCTGTGAAACTTGCATATTTCTGTGGAGCAACTGTTGCCAGGTTCTCTGAGTATACCGAATTTGCTTAATTACAGGTTTTTATATTTCTTTCATCAGGGAGAAGTGTCACTGCCCTTCCTACCAGTTTTTTTTTTTTTCATTAATAACTCCAACACCTTCAGAGGAGTCTGGGTAGAGCCAAAGAATCTCCGATTCCATTCCCAATTCCCATGACAGAGTTCTGATACCCTGACCTACTACGTATTGGGTGGAGAGCAAGTCTTCAGTGGCTATGGTTTTTACACTGAAGATTAATTATATCACCCAACTAAGGACGTACTGTACACTGAAGGTGGTTTTCAGACTGCTAAGTATCAGAATGCCAGGAGTTCAGCATTTTTTAGTGATCTGGAGATGCTAAGTATTACTTAGATCGAGATCAGGTAGAAAAGGTTGGTTAAGGAAAATATGGAAAAGCTAAGAGTGCCATGAGTTTTTAAATCACAGATCTTGCTGGTGAAATTAGCCCCATGAATTTTGCTTAAGCTCTGTTGCTTTCTGCCTGTGTACTTTCCATTCACATCCTGCTAACAATCTTAGAAACACTAATTAAAATCACATTGTGAACCCATTGTGGCTAGTGTGCATGCTATGCTAGCCAAATGTTCTGTCAGACATTCAGACTGAGGCTACCAGAGTGGGGAGTCTGAGTTAGATGAGAGCATAGCTGGCTCTAGGATTATAAAATGTAGCTGAGAGTTAGAAGATAAAGGACACCGGTGCCTTTGAGATGGAAGAGTCATCAGTGCATATACATAGCTTGATGATGTGCTGTGAGTTGTTTCTGATGTGCATCTGCCACATCTTATCTTTCCTTCCTTTACATACCCGCTCACTGCTGTTGTTTGATAACATATTTGCCTTCTGCTAAAATAGGAGCAAGAGTGAACTGTTAACTGTATTTTGTTACCCTGGGTTTATTCAGGTTATAAAACAAAGCTGGCAGCAGTTCTATCAAAACTACAATTACTGTATTTTTCCAGCATTAGAAGAAATTTAAAAGATTTGTATAGAAGAGAGCACGGCATTAGAAAGTGAGAAGCAGATATTCTATTCCTTCCTTTGGCACAGTAGTCATGGATGACAGCACCTGAAACTTTTGGCAGTTCCAGTAGCCTGCCTCATGTCTTGTGATAGGCATTTAGGTACAAAAGACATCCCAAGATCTTCCACAGTAACGGTGACTCTATGTTTCAGATAGCAAATAAGACTATATGTGTTCCTGTCCTGAGATACCACCACAAGTGAAAACACTGGGGCTGTTACAATTCTTAGTAATTCCTGTGTGAGGAACTTCACTGCTCTGGAGCACAAGCACGTTAGAGAGAAGGTGTTAAGCTATTCCCTGCCAATTCCTGAAATGAACTACCATTATATACTGCCTTTTAGGAGGATTATCATCTCATTGGTTTGTTCTGAGAATCTGAGAAATTGCAAAACATTAGGCTGCTCTTTCTTATGGTGAATATTAGTTATGGAGTAAGTTGTTCTTGCAAGCAAAACACTGCTGTGTATTAAGTATTGCATTTGCTATTAATAAATACCACTGCGTATTACAGATGCTGTACAAAGCCTTCTTGTGGTTTTATACTGCTCCTTGAACTATTTTAGGGCAAGCTTAGGAGAATGGACAGTCAGCTTCTTTATAAAATTGCTTTCCTTAAGCAATGTTTTTTTTCCTTCTTTGCCATCAAACAACATAATCATATGGTTTCCCCTGTGGTGCCAGTAGGCACAACACCACAGCATTTGGTTCCTGCAATGAGGACAAAAGATAAATCTCAAACTGTAGAACAAAGCTAATATCTACAATTACTTAGATAGGTGGTGAAGCTTTTAATCCAGTGAATAAATGTGTGTGCATTGTATATGTTTATTTTATGCAAGTACTTCATTTTCTGTTGCTATGTGATGACTGCATGTTGCAGATAGTGCTTTCAAATGCATATTTATGTGCAGGTGCAAAATTGCATTTCTTAAAAACAGGAACTTGGCTGCTAAAGCACAAGGGGGAAAAAAAAATAATGCCTGAGATTTATGAATTCCAGAAGCAACACTTATCTCTTATTGCTTGCTTCAGCTGCTGGACTTCTTCTGTGAAGAAGCTGAAATTTAAGAGAAATACCAAATTGTGTGTTTTCCTGTACCAGCAGAAAAAAAAATATATATATATACTTTGCATTAGGAAATATCTGTTAGAGGAAGAAAGGACATTAAGCAGTGCTTAGAAGGAAACGTCCTGTGTTTATTCCATGCCACATGGTTCAGTTCATGTGAAAAGGAGGGGCAGAGTTTTTTCTCTGTGTTAGCTGTATCAGAAAGTTGACACTGTTGGTTACTGTGATACATGTGAAACATCTGATTAATTACATGGCGCTAACTGCCTCACTGGGCTTCTCTGCAGTAGAACTAAGACTAATTAAGATTATGTCAGGGTGAAGGAAGATGAGGTTACACACAGAAAGCCGTTATGAATTTGGATGATGCTTGTCACAAAAGTCACCTTTTGCATCTCGTGCTGGGGATTATATTTCATCAAAAATCTCAAGTTCATTTCCAGTCTTCAGGTCCATCCCTCCTCTTGCTTGGTGCTGCTGCAGTCCATGCATGATTCCACTGAAGGCAGTGGTGTGGAGTAACACCCTATGAAGGTGTGGAGAGGCTGGCTTGTGGTTTTCATAGCCTTCTTCCTGTTGTGGTAAAGTGAAGTACTTCTCTTGGTTTAATGATAAAAGTGGTACATTAGATTACAATACTGAAGCTTTTATTTATTTAAATTTCCAAAATGTTTCTTAACTAACGTTTTGGTTTATTTTTGTCTGAGAAATGCTGCTTTGTACAGATTGTTCACTCCCCATCTGTCAGTACAGCACAGGCCTCTTGTCCTAAATTATTTTGATTTATCCTGTCTGCTGCACCCAAACCACTGATTCCAGTCATGCAGATCACTTAAAGCAAATATCACCAAGAGATCTCTGTGACGTGCATCTTCTTTCTCTTATTTATATCATAATGAACTTCATTCTTGTAGAACTATAGAAGGACTTTTTGTTTGTATAATGACAGCTTACAGAGTGGGACCTCAGTCCAGACACAGGTGCACATAGACCACCGTATTTTGGCATTTTAACTAAATAGCTGTCCAAGCTTGCAATGCTGTCCTTTTTTTTTTCTTTTTTCTTTTTTTTTTCAGTAGGTATCTAAGGATATTTGAAATCAAGAAAAAAACCTTTGGTAAATAGGTTTACCATTGGCTATTAAGCATTTTTTGATTGGTTAACATTGGCTGAGTGAAAGCTGAGGTACATTAGCAGGTATCTAAAGGCCTGGCTTGCGTGGCTAAGATTTCCAAATATTTGCTTTAATTTCTAAAAGCAACTACATCTTTAATCATTTTTGCCACAGAAATACAAAAAATATGATCTGAGCATAACTGATAGGTAGGTATGCAGAAGGGCAGAGCTCTGGAAAATATAACCTGTCCCATTCACCTCCACTGTGGTACTCTGTTGAATAAACACCAGGTAAATAGCAAAAAAATAAAAAAAAAAAAAAAAAGGAAAGTGAGAAAGAAAAGGAAACAGTGCGATTGTAAGCTTCCTGATGATTATGCATAAGGCGTTGAGTTTTCTTCAACTGGGTTCAGTACATGGCAATGAGGTCTGATTCAGTGCTGCTGAAGACAAAGAATAACTCTTCTGTTTCGTTCTGCTTTTACAAAATGAGGTTAGTTATCTATTGCTATCAAAGGACAAGTCGCTGCTGTACTGCTTTCCCTGGGGAATGAGAGATCTGAGCTGATAAAAGAAGAGGTCTGTAGAACCAGGCTCATTATATCTTCCACAAAACTAAAGTGATGGATATGACTGGGGGAGGGTGAAATAGTTGCATTGAAAAAAACACAGATGTGTAGGACACAACATTTTTGGTGGTAAGACTGGGATAAGACCAATTTTCTGTGGAATCTAGAAAGACACAGCTTTAATAGCTGGTGAGTTCTCAGGGATTTCAGAACATCAGGTGGTGGTACAGCATACCTGTGTAGGCTGAGTATCTTCTGAAAACAGCAATGAAAAATGTAAATGACTGACCCCTGCTTTTAATCACCTTCCATCAACAGTCAGATGCAAAAGAAGTCCTCTTAGCACAAAGCTGGCTTCTGAAGTTCTGTATTGTGTTTCTGCATTTCAAGTGGTGT